TTGAAAAAAATGAAAAACAAAAAATTATGAATATAAATTAAGCCAGGAGAAAGTTATGGCTCACGTTACCCGTGAGAATCCACCCTAGCAAAATGACCGAAGTTGTTTTCGTTCAAGTGTTACAAAGTCATATCCCTCTTTCTTCTCGGAGGTGAGAACCACCTGGCGGGGCTTCTACGTCACAACTTAAAACAATAAGGCCTAAATTCACCTTTTCTCGGGAGTTACATATCCTCATATAAACATAGTGAAATTAGTAAAGAAGCAATTATAAATAATTAATCGGCTCAAACCATTGGATAAAAGTTCCATTCAAATAAGTTACGGGTGGCGGCCGTTTTGTATCTGTCGGTCAAAAGATTTTTTCTTTTGCTGAGGTACCGAATTTATTTTGCTAAATTTAAATCGCTATTGTTATGCATCCAACGTACAATTTCATAGATTTCTGAACATTCACCCTTTGAGTGCACAACGGGTTGTTTTTGACTTGATAACAGAGATTCTGTGTGATCGCGGTTTGTATCCTGACAGAAATAACCCAAAATCTGGTTATTCTGCCCCTAGATTCAACTAAACATATGCCTAGACTCACTTCTGAAACAAATGATGATTCTAATATTCGAAAAGTACACTGGATAGCGCATGATGGGATGGCTGAACTGAGGGCTGTGCGGAGTTCGAAGGGCGATCAGAATAAATCCATGGTAATTATTACACATTGCTACTCATAAGTAACTGCGTACCAAATGCAAAATTGGAAGTCTACTCATTTTTCACGGGGAACACCTGTCTGAATACCTGCGTGCAGAACTCGATTCAGCGTGAATCATTCTGTTGCAGCTAACAGATAGCTAACTGCATTCCCATTTGTTCCTGTCAGATCAATTAATTTGTCTAACTGCTTTTGGAACGTGATCACTACAACACTGAACAGTGAGTCTAGTCGGAAAAACAAGCTGTTTCTGTTGTTTTTCTTTGTTTATTCTGTGCGATGTTGGTCAAGGTGTCTCCGTCCTGGGCACAAATTCGAAGGTCATGATATTGCTACTGCCACCCTACTTTGATGACAAGCGTTTTCGCTGTCGGCCGGATCAATAACAAAAGCTTCCCATTCGGTTCTTTTGAAGTTTGCTACTCTAAATTTTGAATTTCATAGGCTACTAAAAACCTATTGCCCGCGGGACTGGAAGACCATTTCGGTGGTCAAACGTGAATTGGTTGACATCGCTTCACCGAATAATGGTCACCTCAGATCAGCGGCAATACTGGAGGATATGATAGACATTCTCGTGCACACTGTCTATCTGCAACCAAAAGCCATGCAGTTCCGTAGACGGAATCCTGACTTGTACAAATGGAGGCCACAGTCAATAGGTTTCATCGTCATCACACTGATGTGCGATAGATCATGCGCTTGTCATTTTGTACCACATTCATATGAGTCATCGTAGACCGATTCATAAAGCTAATTTATCCCAAGTAGGAAAACTTTTTTCATCAGTAAAAAAAGGTGCGTATTTCCTTATCCCAGGAATAACCGTTGATAATAATTGAACAGTTATTCATCTTGACAATGGGGTCCCCTCTTTCTCCTGTCCGTGAAATCAAGGTGTTTTATAAACAATTACACCCAAACAGTGTTCCGCAACATTCGGCTAGAAGAAAGTGGAACGCGAATTCACCATTTACTTGGAATGCAATCTCATGCATTCTCATGAATTTCTACAGAATGGTAATCACACCAAAACAACAGTTTATTGTTTCGTACAGAATCCATTGTTCGGTTGCTGCTTCTAGACGCTATGAGAAACCAAGGACTGTTTTGATATGCGCCAAGACACTACTCATATAAAATTGGAGTAGTAACTTACTAAACTATTTTACTGTTGATGTTGTGTGTTCTCCGAGCTGCATGAGGTGTTCGCAGACTATCAAGGGAATCTTAACTTCCCCTGCGAATACTCACGATATGAATCCGAAATGGATTGGAATCAGTCGCCGGCGTTTTCTCGATGGTGCTGGATTC